CTAGAGCTATATTATTTCATGCACATCTTCCTTTGTATTTTTGGATTTATTGCATCATGGCTGCTGCTCATATTATTAACAGGGTTCCTTCTACTGTTCTCAATAATAAATCACCCTTTGAATTACTGTTCAATAAACTGCCAACATATGATCATCTTAGGGTCATAGGTTGTTTATGTTATGCATCCACTTTACAATCTCACAGACATAAATTTGAACCTAGAGCACAAAAATGCATTCTTCTTGGGTATCCTTTAGGTTGTAAAGGTTATAAACTTTACAGCCTTGATACCAAGAAAACATTGATTTCCAGAAATGTGCTTTTTTATGAGAATGATTTGCCTTTCATGAATCATATTAATACCTCTGTTTCTGAAAAACTTTTTCCCACACCTCAGTCTTTTTCTTTTACTGAGAAGGACACACCCACTACTGCTCCTAATAATTCTTTAAACTCAAACAATCAATCTCAATCTCCTTCACCCACTATCTTGAATCCCAGTTCCACTATTACACCCACTACATCCACTACTCAGAATACCAATAACATTGCTATTCCCACTAACAACTCCTCACCTCTCAGAAGATCAACAAGACATACTAAACCTCCTGCTTACCTTGATGTTTATCAGCATTCTTTACCAACTTCCAGAACAAACTCTGCAATCATTTCTCCAAGCACTTCTGGAACATCCCTTTACCCAATTTCCTCTTATATGTCTGTTAATTCTTTATCTGCCAATCATTCATGTTTTACAGCATCTATTTCTTTAATTACTGAGCCTAAGACTTATGCTCAAGGTGCAAAAGATCCTCAATGGCAGTTAGCCATGAGAAAAGAGCTAGATGCTCTAGAACAAACTAAAACCTGGACTTTGACCTCTTTACCATTAGATAAACATTGTATTGGGTGTAAATGGGTTTTCAAAGTTAAATATAAATCTGATGGAAGTATAGAGAGGTACAAAGCCAGACTTGTTGCTAAAGGCTATACCCAAGAAGAGGGTATAGACTATTTTGAAACTTTTTCTCCAGTTGCAAAAATCACCACAGTAAGATTTTTAATTGCTTTAGCTTCTATAAAGAACTGGCATATTCAACAGCTTGATGTTAACAATGCTTTTTTACATGGTGATTTACAAGAGGAAGTATACATGAAACCCCCTCCTGGTTATTGTAAACCTGGTGATACTAGAGTTTGTAAACTGATCAAAAGTTTGTATGGCTTAAAACAGGCTTCTAGACAATGGTTTTCAAAACTTACAACTTGTCTAGTTGACTATGGGTTTACCCAATCTGTGGCTGACACTTCTTTATTCATAATGCATACAGACTCTTCCTTTACTGCTCTATTAGTTTATGTTGATGACATTATTGTCACAGGTAACAATATTGATCATATTTCTGCTATTAAAGCACACCTTGACAAGTGTTTCACTATCAAAGATCTTGGCACTTTAAAGTATATTCTTGGCTTAGAGTTTGCACACTCACCTATTGGCATTAACGTGTGCCAAAGGAAGTATATTCTTGATATCCTAACTGATACAGGGTTCTTAGGGTGTAAACCTTCTTCTACCCCTATGGACCCTACTCTGAAACTGTCTGCTTATACTGAAAATGACTCTCTTACAGAGCCTACCACCTATAGAAAATTGATTGGCAGGTTTTTATACTTGACTATCACAAGGCCAGACATTGCTTACAGTGTTCAAACTCTAAGCCAATTTCTTTCCAAGCCTACCACTGCCCATCTGTCTGCAGCACACAGAGTCCTCAGGTACTTGAAAGGTACAATAGGTAAGGGTATCCTTTTTGCCAGAAATTCTGATATTAAACTGCATGCATTCTGTGATAGTGATTGGGCATCTTGCATTAACACTAGAAGGAGCATCACAGGATTCTCTGTATTTCTTGGCAACTCACTTATATCGTGGAAATCTAAAAAGCAATCAACTATTAGTAGATCCTCAGCAGAAGCTGAGTATAGGGCTCTTGCATCTACCTCATGTGAAATCCAGTGGTTATTATATCTTTTTAATGATTTCAAAATTTCTCATGATGGTCCTGTTCATGTTTACTCTGATAGTAAATCAGCTATTGCCATTGCTACTAATCCTGTTTTCCATGAAAGGACAAAACATATAGAAATTGATTGTCACTTGATTAGAGAAAAAATTGCTAATGGTCTCATATAGCTTCATCATGTGGACACCAAAGATCAAGTTTCAGACATATTGACCAAAGCTTTACCTGGACCAGCTTTCTCATATCTCTCTTCCAAGCTTCACATGAACAACATCCATGTTTAGCTTGCGGGGGGGGGGTAATAACATTATGTTTATATTTGTAGTTAGAATTTGTGTTAAAGTTGTTATATTTTACATAACAACTATAGGCATTTGTAATATTAGAACTTGTGTTAAAGTTGCTGTTTTTGTAAACAGCAACTATAGGCATTGTATCATTTTTACTATTTTGCCATTGTGGTAACCCTAGATATAAAAGGGTCTCACCACTTGTTGTCTCTTCACTTTTCCACTTTTATTTTCCCGTTCCCAAACTCTCTCTCTCCCTGTTCATCTTGTACAATTTTCGGTTCAATGAAAATCTTTCAGTTTGTTGTTTGATTTCCAGTTTAATAGCAATCAATAATGTGATTCATGTGTAGTTAAATAACTAATATTTATGTGGTCCTACCCGGCTCGATTTCGAATTAGTCGGTTCCCCTGTGGATCCAGAAATCGGAAGGTCTATGTACTAAAAAAAAATAACTAATATTTATACTATTCATTTACTGATAAAATTTGAAAAAAAATGTGATATATCTACTATCTATTTTGTAATTTTGACATTATATACGTATATTTTATATATAATATTTTATAATGTATATTTGTGCATGCGTACATCACATCGTTGACTACCGGTAAGCACCTAAAACACAATGAAAAAGTCGAGAATTTTAATTTATTTTTATTTATTGGTTTTGAAAATCCATAAAAGACATGAATAATATATTCTAGTGAAAGGTTTTAATCAAGCAAAGATCTTTAACACAAACATCCATTGTCTGCCATGTGAAGAGCACGAAATCATGCACGTTTTGGAGGTTTAATAATTTTAAGCTTAGCTCTAATTAATCGTGTTTACGTGCATGACAACGTGAGGTAATTTTCCCTTTGCCTTCGGTTTAAATTAGTACATCGCGTGGGGACATTTTATGTCGTCCGCATAACAAGCAATGCAGTCATTATAGAGAAAGAGCCCACCGCTATTCTCTTTACTTCTATCAGTAATGTTCCGCTACTCACGGTGAACACATATTAATATGCTCACTATTTACGTGGCATGCTTACATTGACGATGTTAACATATTCAAAAAAATATATCACCAATGTGTGCATGCCACATAAGACGTACGTGGACATATTAACATGTGTCCACCGTAAGTAAGGAAGCATTACTCTTACTTCTACTTCTTTTTACTTAACTTTTCTTCTCAAATCTCAATGCTTAATTATAGAATGAGTATTTTATTTTATTTTTTTTTTATCGTTAATGTGAATTGCTTTTTTTGAATGTGTTTTTACCTAAAAATGAAATGATAGTATATAAGATATTTTAATGACAAACGTTAATGGGAAACTGTGTCCAATGTCCATTTATTGTAGGACTGTACATGTTAATATATCATTTGTGAATAACTATAGATGACTCCGTAAGCCGAGCTATTCGTTGGCTGCCATAGCAAAACTGTATTTGCATTAAGGTTAGAATTGCCTAAATACTAACAGAACATATGTCGGTCCCGTTACGGAACCATTTCGTCGGGATTGGTAACCGCTAAATCATCAAGTAGCCGTCGGGAATAGTTGATCTAACGGTTACGAACCCCGACGGAATGGTTCCGTAACGAGACCATAACATTTCCCAATACTAACATTAGCAATTAAATCTTTTTATAGTAATTAATTATATTAGGCTATTAGCAAAATAAGCCACTCTACAAAACCATGATATAGTCTTATTTAACAGCTGTAATGCAGATTTGACTATTAATAAAAGTCAATTATCACTAAACACACTCGAGACTATATTTAATTAACTTTTGCACCGTGGTATATAATATATTTCACTTTCTTCAACAAATTTTCAATGCATTGACTTTGCATTTAGGATAATGGACATGTTTACTTTAACATTGTCCCAGTAATTCATATCTACCTACATATATAGCTGTTAATTATTCAGACGTGCCTAAGAATTAGATACAGTAGAGCAAGAAATACTACGGTCACGTTACAATACTATCCGGTCGGGTATTTTAAACGTCAGATCAACATGTAATTAGATAAAATAGATGATCTATCGGTTAAATCAGTTAGTAATAAGACATACTGAAAGACAAGTGAAAGAACTAAAATCAATTCATGAACATAATGTTACACAGTACTCATACTCCTATCACACATCTATCTATACCATTACCTACACCTAATAAAACTATTATTAATGTAATAGTAACAATACAACTTTCTCAAAATTCTAATTTACAAACACCATTAATTAATTAATTAATTAGACCGATCGACTGCAATCGGCCGGTCCAAACCCCACTCGTCTGTTGACCAAATCGAACTCCACCCAAAGATTTTGCTGGTAGAAGTTTCCGATGATGTTGCCGGGGACTCCTAGAAACTCCGACCGACCCACGGCGATGCAGTGGACCCCACTCCCCACGTCATCCATGATCCTCTCCTTCGGGACCGTTATCTCCACCCCACCTGAGAACACGAGCGCCACGTCGCCGATCAGCCGCGCGGCCGCGGCCGCCTTCGCAGCGTCGAAGCACATGTCGAACGCCTCCGCGTACACGAAATCCTTCTTCATCAGCTTGCCGCCGCCCGTCCGCCTCACGACCTCCTCCCGCATCTTGTCGTAGGCGG